AATGAAAAACAGTTTGACAATTTTTCTGTCTTTGGCCCTTTTTTGTAGCTGTTCTTAGGCCACCCACAGATCCACAGAGAATCAAGCTTTCTGTTGATTCGGCACTTCTGCAAAGTTTTTCACATATCTACAATTCCCTGAGTGTGTTATTCAATTTGTAGGGTCCCACAACCAATTCTGTCTGAATTGGCCACAAAATATGGAAACTGTGATATGTATCTGCTGAGAACCATATTCAGTGACATTCTCCTTTACATCAAACAGATCCTCAGCTCTGTCTCTTACCTCAAATTCCTTCCTAAGCTATGATAATATGAGTTTTCTTACTCTTATAATCTTTACACTGTCTCACTAGTTTTCTGGGATTTCCAGTCCTCACCCTTCTTCGAACTTCTCAGATCCTCTCTTTTTCCTTCTGTTGTAATTGTCTGTACTTTTACATCCCATTGAGAGGTTATAAACCTTTACTGAAATCTCTTCTTCTCTTCCCAAATTAGGGAGAATATCTTAAGTTGTTTCCCATGGGGAGTCCAAGTCCAACCTCAGTGTAGAGAAGGTGGAGAAAATGAGTCTGCAGTTGGCTGGTTTTTATTCCAAACCCATCAATATGCAAATTGCTTCCTATCACAATCATCCCATTGACTTCTTGGGACTGTTCCACATTTACAGGACACCAATGGATTGAGCTGTGCCAGACAGTCAGAGCAAACTGCTGCTCCCCTGTTCACCAACAGCACCAAAAACTTTGGTGCGAGAGGAGAGAACCACACTGACCAAAACATTGCTTTCCCCTTGAGAGAACAGCAGCACCTCCTCCCCCTGCCCACACTTGCTGGGCATAACCACAGAGCCTCACACACAGATCCCCTCCTGGCTTCTTGTTCATTCCCCACAGCATCTAACCTGGCGATAAATTTGCTTGCCAGCCAGGAGAGAACAGATGAATTAGTGAAAAATGTGGATTTTCAGACTTCAAAGATGCTCCTGGGTTTAAAGTAGTATTAGCCTCTACATTTCTAAATTGAGCAGCATCTTTTTCATTGGAAAATTTGAAGTGGAGCAGTTCTGCTGCCAGCTTTACTATTTTAAGACCCTCAGGAGTCAAAGTACTTAAGCAATCCCTAATTTTAAATCACAGTAACAAAAAATATTTACTGAAGGACTGTGTTTCAGGATTATTCTTCTGAAATTCACAGGCTTGGTTGTGAAATATTTTTTTTCAGTTCTATGCTGTTTTCTCAGTTCTATTTGGATCCTTTTGGTAGATGGCCCAGGTAGCAACAGGACAAAAGAAGCTGATAAATCAGAAATTGCAATCTTTGCTAAAATAAGGAAAGCTTTAGCAGCAGTGTGAATTTGAGCCAAAAGAATGGATTTTTTCCATTCTTCAATGTTTTTTCCTCTTTTCACTACAGCAGCAGTGTGTATTCTTAGCGGTTAAACACCAGCAATGTTTCAAAAAGTCACCATGCCACATTGCAATTATGTAAAAAGAGGTGTCTGTCAAACATGCTTAGACCCAAAATTGCATAGAGATTAAAAATAAAAGCCATCACTCCAGTGGTGGGAATTTCAAACATCCCTGGGGGTTAATCTTTACAGGGCCATATAGAACAAATCTATAAACTCAGCTCCCATTAGTATCTCTGCAGCATCAGTCAGCAAACCTCAACTATGCCCTCCAGGCAGGGTAAAGAAATTGGTAAGCCTTGTGCAGAAGTAAATTATGTGTTTCAGGTAATATTTGTTTTATATGAAAGAAGGGAGAGTAGAGCAAGAGTTCTAACAAATTTCATGGTACTAAGAAAGAGGTTTTGTTTTGTCCCTGAATTATATTCTGGAAATCAGCCTTGAGGGCCTCCTTTCTTCTAAAAGAGCCAGCTGAGGTTGAATATCTACTTTTATCCCAGAAACGGACCTCATTTCTCAAAAGAGACTGACAAATAATTGTTCTAGTGGAGGAGAATCACAAATCCCTCACCCCAGTTTGTCCTCCTCCCTCCATCAGAGCAATCCAGCTTCCAGAACTTGTTGAAAACTGATCAGCCAATCTCAGAGCCGTGGGGAAGTGTGAGCCCAGGGGAAGTCTGGCCTTTCACAGCACAAAACACCAGAAATATTTTGGTCACTGTGCAACAGTGTTTTAGGAAAGCTGAGGAGGAGGAGGAGGAGACATCCTTCCTGCAAGGTGCCAGCCTCTGGCCGAGGGACTAAGTAGGCAACAGGAGACAACAAACCCTTGAGCTGCCAAGGTGGAGCGTGACAGGTATTGTAAATCTGAGACTGTCCATGCTCCAAAAGGGAAGTCTTGATTTTCCCAGACTTATTGATACACAAACTCTTTGTTTGGGAACAGACAGCAGCATCACCTTTTATTTTACAGCATGTTTGGAAAGGGTGCTGCTCCCAGGAGGTGGAGGTCGATTCTGTTTTCCCCCTTTAAAACCCTGAAGTCATTTTCTTGGTATAAATCTCCAGCACCGGTGTTTTTGGCCCTCAAGTGGGATCTCCAGTGAGGTGACAGAGCCCCAGAAAACCCAACTCTGTGCTGAGGGCTCCCCTAGACAGACCTATGCCACATGCATCGACCTCTGGAGAACCAACATGTCTCCATGTCCTTCTGGATCTATTTTTGGGGTTCAAACCTGAATATGGCCCTTTGTACCTTAGCTATCATTTTGCTGACAAGATAAGCATAATTTTATTCTGTGCTTTGTTTATTTAAATGTCAAACCTTTAAATCAGAAGCCTCCCTCACTGTGTGCATAAATCTGGTAGAGCATCAAGGGGGATGGGAGCACAGGAGATCTAAAGACAGTAAAAATGGCAGTAAAACTACACATCCTGTGTACAAATGCATTTCTAATTGCTGTTGTTAGAGTACAGTCTTCTGTGAACCTTTTCTCTATTGCTATAGACTAGCTATAATATAAAAGTCTCTTGACTGTTTAAATGACGTGGCTAGGAAGAAGATTTCTCCCACAGAGAATGGAGACAATTTAGACTATGGAGCAGAATGGGATAAGATGAATATTCAAAAACTCACAGAGTCAACTTTTTGCATGCAGATTAAGTCATAAAAAAATACCACTGCCTGCAGTACCTACTCCTGGTCATAACTGCAGTATTTATAATGGGATATTAAGCTTTAGTTATGTTACTGTCTTAGGCTACATAAACCACCAGGAAAAGAGAAAATAAATAAGGTTCTTGCAGATTACTTAATTGTAGCAAACAGGAAGCTGCAGTAATCACAATTTTGCTTTGCAAGGAAATTCCATGGTTGAGAGGTGGTGGAATGGATTCGTGAAGGAAACAGGACTAGCATTAATTAGTGTGGTCCCAGCAGGCCATTAATCAGGATGGGGTAAAGCCTCAGTAAACTCACAGACCTCTACTCAAACAGGTAGGTCACACAGTGGGAAATGCTCTAGCTCCACTGAAGTAAGCTGCTGGTTACCCCCTGGGGATTTGGATCCTTTCAGAACTGGGAAGGATGGACACAGATCATGTTCCATCACAGGGACTAAAAGCTGCCAGAATTTGTGCTGCTCAGGAGAGGGAGAAGTGCATGTGATCTCGAGCTGCTGGGATGGAGATGTGACCTTATAGAGCTGATCCAGAGGCTGGCTTTTCCAGGTCAAGGGTTACTGTTGTAGCACTAACCTTCACCTTGAGTGTATGTTTCAACAGATAAGGAACTGTAAAGTAGCATGTCCATTCCAAGTGTCTTGTAGGAATGCTTCCTAGCCTGTAGTGACCTGTGGGAGAGAGGAACTGGGACTATCACCTGCAAGCTGCTCAAACACCTGACACTCAAAACCTCCATCCTTGGAGGCACAGCCAAGGGAGGACAGTGGCTTGCAGTCCCCCCATGTGAGCAGGGTGGGATCTGTGGGCTGCCTAATAATTTGGCCACAGCCATGATGCCAGTTAGCAAAAAACTCACTTGCTTTATTAAAGGAATTGCAAGCAATCAGTGGTTTGCTTTCCATTGCCATAAGTAGTCTTTTCATAGCTTTTATGGCTTACAGAAACCATAGTTCTATCTTACCTGTGTTTCTCACTGCAGAAATTGGGAATCTCCTTGCCCAATGTACAGATGTGGGCTGTGTGTTACTTCAGCTCTACATGCTGAAGCAAAAGCTTGGTCAGAGTGATTGTGAGACTCCTCTTAGCTCTTTCACATGTGCCTGCTGCAGGACATTGGAAAGGTCTCTTCTTCTCCCATTCCTTCACTGTCCTTTCAAACCCTTCTACTGTCTTCTGTCTTTGGGCTGTGAGAGAATTTAATCTTTCACTTCTCACTTTCCCAAGGGAGCCTGAAAGGTTAGAGCTCCCTATATCCCATTGGAGTGGAATGAACTGCCTTTCTCTCAACACCCTGACTTTCCCACAGCTGCTTATAGGAAAATAACTAAAGTCAAACCAGGTCTACTTACAGCATAAGACAGGTACTATTGTCATGACAAATGTTTCTGTTTTACAAGGAGATTCAAAAGTTTTTACTCTTGAGCCTGGCTGGACATCTTCTGCCTGGAATCCTTGGCCTCTGTCAGAACTGTTCTTTGCTTGAACAAAGAGTAAGGTATTTCCATCCAATTATTTTCCTGCATTAGTTACAGGATTACTAGAGATCCATATTTTCTTTATAATATCCTTCCATTTTCAAAGCTGAGGAGTCTTTCAGAAAATTAATGTATTTGGCTACAGTTCTGCACAGGCATATGAGCCCAAGATAAGCTAAAACTGTTTTTTAAAATTGGGTTTTTTTTCCTCGGGCAATATTTTTATGTTCCCCTTCTAATCTTTAATTGGAAGTCAGAGTTAGCATATTGATAACTTGGCTCACTCTCCATTTAGTTCTGTTTTGAGTGCTGATAATCTAATTACACCATTTTACATAAGGAAGCACAGGCTGAGGAAGTTGAAGAAATTTGATGCCAAAACATAAGGACCATTAAGATGTATCATGCTGACTGTTACAAGGACATACTTACTGTGGTCCAACCAACCTGCTGACCCAGGTCTGTGAAATACAGTGTGATGATGGAGGAGACAGCAAGGCTTTGGATGCTGATGGAATCCTTCAAAAAGGGCCCATCTGCAATGACAAAAATGGAAGAGGAGATGGTGTGAGCAGCAGAAGCTCAGCACAGTGCTGAGGCTGCCCTGCTAGTGCTCCAGATGTAGGCCCAGCTTGGATTCTGATTTACTTGGGTGACTTGGTGCTTATTCTCCAGGTTAGCAACTCAGAGCTCTTCCATGAGAGTTGTTCCCTTCCCATTTTAACAGAAGCGTGAGGCTGCGGTGACACGGGGCCACAGTGTGTGACAGCTGTACCCTGCTGTCCCTGTTAGTGTGGCCCAGCAGAGACGGGCCATGCAACCACACAGACAGCTCCACTGGGCACCTCTAGCTCTGGCTTGCAGGACTAATGGCAAAGTCTGTGTTGCACAGCCTCTCCCTCACTGGCATATTGTGCTGAAGCATTTGCATTCTCAGGCTGTTTTACAGCAGGCAGTGCCTGATGATCAGTGCAACCTCTTGGGCAAAAGCTCACAAGCCAAGATTTCTTTGCTGGCTGTCTGACCTAGGCAAACCAGGTGTATCTGAGCATTACATTACTGTTTGCAGTATTCTGAGGCATCTGCTTTCAGTCCTATTGGATCTAGAGTGTGCAGGCAGACACCAAATAACAATATTTTTGGTTTTCTTTTTTTTTTTTTTTTTTAATATAGGCAGTGAGCTAGCTATTGGAAAAATCCAACAGCCACTGGCATAGGATGTTGCCATGGCTGCAACACCTTTTTGCTCTTTTTTTTATGTATGGTCTCCCTTTCAATATACATTTGTTGACTGTTTACATCAGTGAGGGTGCTAGATTCCAACAGGTGCTGATGGAATTTAGCACCCACCAGCCTCATTTTCTATGGCTTTGCAATTCTACACATCCACAGACCAAACATCAAACAGCCTCTGGCAGCTTTATCTTCCACTGCCATGTCCACCAAGAACTTGTGGACTGCCACAGAGGCTGACTCTGGCAGCCAGCTGCATCTTCTGGTGAGGCAGTGAGCAAATATTAAAACAGGTAATGAAGTGAGGGAAGAAGGGGGAAAATGGGCTTAAAACTGCCTTGTCTTCATTGTGTGATCATAGACTGTATTCTGGAACACTTCACTCAGTGGTTATGAGAACCATTAGGTTCCTTTACTAATGAGAAAAACTAGTAAGGTAATAATTGATGTCAGTTCATGAGAATGTACCAACAGTTCGCCCAATAACACAAATGGAGAGAGCAGTGCTGTGAGGAGGAGAATCTGCCAGAGAATTTAGGTGGATTAGTAATTAGTAATACATTAGGTGGATTAGTAATTAGTAATAGATTAGGTGGATTAGTAATTAGTAATACACTAGGTGGCTGTACTCAGCCATATAAATACTCACTGCGTTCCAGTTGCAGGCCAACACGGGATGGATACCACTGGGGACCTGTTCCAATCACAAAGCATGGCTGTTAATTTTGTGATAGAAAGGCTAAATTTCTGTTAGGTTTGGGGTGGGGTTTTTTCAGCTGATAGCTACAGAAGTGAGATGGAATAAAAAACATCTTTCTTTTGGTCTTATCTATACAAGAGAGCTGGGAGGAGCCCACAATACACACATTAGAGCATGAATCCCTTCTCCCATTTCAGTGTTGGAAGGGCCAATCTCAATGCTGAATGCTCCATCAGCACAGCTTGTGTGGGCAGCACTGGGAAATATAGAGAGGATACTGTTTATTATTGTATTTGCCAAAACTCAGTACTACATGTATCAGCCTTGCCCCTCCTAAAAAATATGCCTGTGCTAGAGTCTGGTCCAGGACTTTGTGTTTCCCATTTAGGAATGTAAAACCTAACTAGGGATGTGCAGTTTGTATTAGTGCTCAACCACAGATTAATCAGGGAAATAGAGGCACAGAGAGTAGAAGCACATGGATAGCTAATACTGGGTGACTTATGACTTCCTTGATACCCTCAACTCGAGGATGTTTCCTAGAAGTAGATTTTTAAATGCTCTAGTTTAAAGGTCATTCCAAAATGCACAATAGCAGTTGGCTGTTGTTATAGGATTCCCTCTGGTGATTTGGAGCAGAGACCTGTCAGGTTGGTCAAACAGGTATGGATCTCCAGCTGCATTTGCTTCCCTTGGTGTCAGAGTGAGCAGGGAATTGCCACCAGCACACTGCAGAGGGGATCATGGCTGTTCAAGCTGTAACTTGGCCAGCTCTTGAGTTCCTCTGTGCAGAAGGCTGTGCTGCTACAGCTGTGCTGCTGAATGGACCATACAAACACTCCTCCTTTGCATCACAAGGACAACTTTGCTTAACCCATACACACTCTGGTTTGCTGTTGAAGGTTTTTAGGGCTGACCTAGCACATTTCTGGGCTCAGCTGATGCAATGTGGTGAGAACTTCCATAGTCCATGGTGTAGACTGACATTTGGGGGAAGCAAAGATTGTCAGAGAAAAGTGAGGACCCTGCTGCAGTATCACCACCCCCAGCCATTTCTACCACACATTTGTCTTTATTTCCTTTGACACATCTGAGGACAGTTGATAGCCTGAAGGAGATTTGCTTTGTCTTTTCAATTCAAAGCCTATGTGAAATTGCTCAGATTTGTTTTAGATGTATCTTACAACTCTTAGTGATACTGTGTTTAAGGTACAAATATTCCCCTACCTCTAAATGGAAAAAATTGTTTGCAGTGACTGTGATCAAACATGGAAACATTTGCCCCAAGAAGCTGTGGGATCTCCTTCCCTGGACATATTCAGGCCTTGTCTGGGGATGCCCTTGAACAGTCTTATAGGACTTTAAAGTTGGTCCTGTTCTGAGCAGGAATCTGGATCTGGAGATGAGCTCTGGAGGTTGTTTCTACCTAACTTATTTCAGGGTGATGAGGAGAGCTTGTTCACTCCACCAGCTGCCAGCTGGAGGGGAAGGAGCTGTATAGGGTGTGCACTGTGCAGTGACACTCAGCACACTCATTTCAAAGGCACTTGGTCTGACTTTTGTAGGCAAGAACAGGCATTAGATGAACCCATGAACCAGGGCTAATGGCAGGAGGTGAGACATCCATCAAGTAAGCTGCAAACATTTTTTTCAAGGTACCACAACAATCCATGGCTATTAAAGATAACAAAGGGAAGATAGAGAAGGAGCAGCTGTCTGACTTGTCAGGGAAGATATGATTTGCTCCAGGACAGCAGATATCAATAGTTATTTGGGAGCCTGAAATGCAATGTATTTGTGTTAAATTGGAATCTTCCCCCCAGCTTCCCCCCTTCATATTACAGTATGTTTCAATAAAAGTCAATTTACCTGATCCTGTGGCAATGCTCTTTTAGGTATGGCTCATAATCTTCACAAGGGCAAACAGAGGTTGTGCATTTAAGCACGTCATCCCACATTTCCAGTCCTTTAGCCTCAGTACACCATTATGCTCAAACATACTCAAAGATTTAGACAGATGGAAGTGTGCCTTTGCTGCTGCTCCTCTGCAGTGACCTTGTTATTACATCAGTGTGTCTCTGGTTTCCAGGCCATGCCTGGAAAGCTGTGTGTACTCTTCTGGAAGGATCTGGAATTAGCTGTTCCTCCCCTGCTCTTACTCTTGGTAGGGGGCCACTAGCTAATGTCAAGTGGAAATGCTAAATGGAGTGGGGGACAAAGCCCAAACACTTTTCTGTGTTGGTTTGAGTGAGATCACCAAAGCTTCCCACTTTCAGCAGATTCTAGCAAGGCTGTTCCCAAGTGTTAGCTGTCCAGGGTCCTGCAGAAACCAGCATTGCTTTCTGGGGAGAAGTGTGCCCCCACAAGGAGTCTGCTCTCCTGCCTTGATAAGGCTCCTTTCAGATAGAAAATCTCACACATTCCTGGGTGTCCTGCTCACCACTTGGTAACAGTCAGACAAAAGGACCCTGGCCCCACCTGTCACCACTTATTTGCCCTCCTCCTATGACTATTTTCTACATGGATCCTCCAAAAATCTCACTAGAACAGCTCTGGATTTCTGTTTGGCAATGTGGGAAGCTATTCCAATCCAGCCTGCCTATGGTAGACACGCATTCCTCTCATTCCTGTAGCAGGAAAGCTCTCTTTTCTTTAAAGAGTGAAAAGAAGCCAAACTGAGGGACTAATTATCACTTGTATGAATTCTTGCTACTGCCTGTCAGAATGAGGGGTTGATGGCTGTCTTGGCTACCCAGAGCCAGGGCTGTCTGGCAGAGCAGCTTCACCTGGCACCAGCAGGAGTTCAGGAGTGCCTGTGGAGAGTCCTGCTCCCAGACGGGTGAGCACACACACATCGCTAAGGGCACAGGCACAGCCGCAGCTGTGGGCAGCATTTGAAGGCTTCTCTGCACTCCCACACCTGGCAGAGCTCCCCTTGCTTCCAGTCTAAAGCTGAAGGGTTTCTCTTTTGCAGGGTTGTTTTGGGGGGTTTTTAGCAGTGTATAATTCGCTTTTTTTTCTTATTAATGTTTTCCATTGCTGTCTCCTGCAGAGATTAATGGCAATCCAAGACCACGGGTGACAGAAGTTTCTCTTGTAACTCCTGTTGCATCTGAGATCAGGCATACATTAATATTTACTTTCTGACATTGTGACGGTGCATCAGAGCTCAGCCACAGCAGGTCACAGTCTCTGTATAATCCTTGTGGTTAGCAGAGCTCTTCAGCTCCCTTTTGCAGGGTTTATGGGTTTGGATGTTGTATTTCACACTTGGAACAAAGTTGTAAAAATAACATTTCAGCTCACTTATATCCCAGACTGGCTTTGACTTGGAAAAGCAGCTGCAGACTGTCCAGAGAATAAGAGTGGCCATGGTGGTTCAAACCACAGGTCTGTTTAGCCAATATTACATCCTCTAATGTTTAGTCAATAGTGTGGTTCCTCCACATGTATTGCATTTCTAGCATTTATGTAAAACAGGTTTGGTTCCTATCTTTGCAGCATCATTGGGCAGCTGTTGAAATGTCTTCCTAGTTTTCCATCTCTCTTTGATTACTTCTACTCTGCTGGCTTATCCTTCTCTGGAAGGCTGTTTGCCTCAGACCCCCATATGGTCACCCCCCAAGTGCAGGCACATTGGCATCTGAAACCTTTGCCCATTCCTCAGCTGAAAAGTCATTCACAAATTCCTTGCATTTAAGTGACATCAATTTCATTCTTCACTGTGCAACTTGATTTAGCTGAGGATGTTCCTGGCCATGCCAGGGGGGCTGGACTAGATGATCTCTGATTGTCCATTTTAACCCAAACAGTTCTACAGCTCTGTGAGTTATTAAAGACATAAACATAACACACATTCTGTGTGCTACAATTCTGTTATAATTCAGGCAAAGCTATATCTATGTGTACAGGCTTCCATTAGTCTGGAAGTGTAAGCAATTATGACAGGTCTTAAGTCTTTGACCATATTCCATCTTCTCTATCAGGAATTTGTTCCAACTTTGCATTAAAAAAATCCATACATTTATTAAAAAAAAAAAAAACTTAAAATATTTTAATTCTATGATGTTTAAGGCTTCATAATTTTTCCAAACAGGATGATATTTGCTTGGAAAGCAACTCAATGTTTACCTTTAATAACCTCTTTTAAAAAATGGATCTGAGGAAAAATATTTAATTTTGTGTGGGTTATTTGTTGTACCTGTCCATATTTAAAAGAGAAATTAGAATACAAGCAAACTGACAGGACACATAAAAAACAGACAGCCACCTTTAATTTTCCCATAGCCAGCTATGGAATTACCTATTAATACTGGCTATAAAAAGGAGATGTAGTGCTGTCAAACAACCATACAAATACCAGCTAAAATGACAGCCTCAGTGCCATGCCCAGCTGCAAATACCACTGCACAAAAATGCACAGAAAACCAAATTCCACTGTTCCTGCTGCCCACATGGTAGGTTTTTTTTCACTGCCTGTATACTAGGATCCCAGTAAATGAATCAGCTAATCAGACAACCCTAGGAAGCAACAACAGTGAGAAAAGCCCCTATGCAGCTTTAACACTGTCCAAAGCTACTCTGGACATGACTCAAGCTGACCTTAATGTGTGCTCCACCACTTAAATGGCACAAAATGTTTTGAAAATTTAACAGGTAAGAAATCAAAGTACTTGGTACTTTTCAAAAGTTGTGAAATTGAAGGAATTGAACTAATTTTTACTAAGTTTCTTAAAGAATCTTCTACAAAAAAATTACTGCACTGTCTGCTCTGCGGTAAATTGCACAATCAAATGTCCATTTGTCACAAAGTATTTATTAAGTTTTGTGAGCCTGTATGAGAACAAAGGTAACATGATGAAAAACTCCCTTGCTGGGGAATTCAGTGTGTTCCTTAGAATGCAGACCTGCAAAAACTATTCTATTCTGCTGGGGAGAGAGGAGTCTAAGAAATGCAAAACACAACTGACAGACACAATTTGGAGATAATTAGC